CAGGAATGAAGTCCACCCAGAAGGCAACTTTAAAAAAAATATTCTATTTGTTTTCATTTTTTTTCTCATTTTGATTGCATGAGAAGGAATTGTTCCAAAGAGGCTTGATCAAGGCATGGGGCAGTGCTGCAGCCACCCACCTCGGCATCACAAGGGGGTTTGTAGCAGTCAAGCTACAGAGCTCCCACAATCAAGTAACATCCCAGCAACACCTAGAACCCTCTCGGCTGGACCTTACAAGTAGAGGATCCCTTCTGCACTGGTACATCTCCTTCCTTACAGATGGGAGCAAGAGGCCTCATACAGAATTTTCTGCATTTGGGGTCGGAGGGACAAGGCAGACTTCAGAGTGTGGCCACATCCCTGATCAGCAGATACATCAACAAGTCCCACGTATGAGCAACAACCCTGCAACGGCTTTGCAAGCTTTCTGGGAAAGAAGAATTCTTGTTCAAACAGGTATTTTCCTTGAACACTTTCTCCAAACAGCTTATCCATAAGAGAAAAATGCAGATGTACGCACTGCAAACCAGCTCGGTGAATGGTTTCATGCAGCATCTAAAACCCATGTGTATGTGAGCAGTAGAGGTTTAGAAGCCAGAGTTTCAGCGCCTCAGATTTGAGGGGCTGTGGGATCACCACACTGCCATAAATCTACGGATAGTTCAAACGACAAAGTGGAAAGGGGAACAGACTTCAGTTTAGGATCTCTCAAGAAGACTGTTTAAATTTTCTGTGAAATAGAAGAGCAATTTTTCCTTAATCTCGCCTCAAGAGTGCTATCGTAGAGTAAAATTAGACAATTTTTATTGGCTTCAAATTTTCTTTCATCTCTGATTTTTTTTATCAGTTTTATAGCCCTGTAATACTATTCTGTACCTGGGTCTAAATGACATGACAATTCATTGGCCACATTGCACAGAATGAAATCAACCCTCAAAACCAGGGAATGAAGTCTTTGATATCATCATATTGTGATGATTAACAAGAGCAAGAAAAACTAAAGAAAAAAAAAAATCACTTTATCTTCTTTATTAGTGGCAGGTGGGCTACGCAAACCATGTAATATTTCTAACCAAGCCAGTTACTGGATCTCATCAAATTAAATGAGCAGAACTTGGATGGCAAAGTAAGCTTACAAAAAGGAAGTTCCTTAAGTCAGAATCATCAAGATTTGGCTTCTGGAGCTTTACTTTCTGTTCTATTGGCTTACGACAGAGTAAAAGTACAAATAAGGCAGAACAGAAAGCTTAAAAGGCAATGAGAAGAATAACACAACTTATAAGGAACACTCTGCTCATCTAACAATTCCCAGCATCCCATAAACACCAAAAAGCAATTCAGCCAGTGACCTCCAAAAAACTGGATTCCTTTACCCAGGGACTGTGTATTCAAGGTCAAAGTTTAGTAGACTTCAGTATGGAAGAGTGGCATATTAGCTATTCAGCTGTAACTCCTGTAATGACAGGAGACAGCTGAGATCTGCTGAAATCAAATTACAGCTCTGATTATGCAAAACACTATGGTTCTGCATTTCCTGACACTAAGACTACTTCTGAGTGCAGCTTGAAGATATCTGCTCTAAGATTTCTGAAAACAAGCAATTAAATCAACAAGAGAAAAACGAGTTTATTGCTCTACTTGTATTTGGTAAAGAACACTTCATGACAAATTATATATACGAATGTGTCAACGGCTCAATATAAACACTGAGAAGTATTCTGTAAAATATATCTCATACCATCAGGGAGTTGTTTACAGGACAAAGCATCATCAAGATCCTTGGCAGTTGATGGGTCGATGGTGAAAATGCATTCTTTCCTATCCAAGGAAAAAAGAAGAAAAGAAAAATTTATCTTCCAGTCATGAAGAAGGTATCAAAACACAGAGACCATTAGAGACATCCAGACAACCACCACCATGTTTTCAGAAGACTCTGTTGAAACATCTTTCAATCTAATCTAAAAAAAAAACCAGTGGTTTTAGACCTTTAGACAAGAGAATCTCCTTAGGTTTGTTTGGGGTTTTTTTCATTTTTCTCTTTGGTTTAACTGCTTGCTCTTAACAGCTTTCATCTCATTACTGATTTTCCTCCACAAAAAATAAACAATTTAGCCCATCAAGTTCACTCCAAAGAAACAAGCAGGAAAAAGCCTTGATGCCTTGCAGCTAGAGTAAAAATAGATTGTTCCTAATTACAAAGCTAAATGGAACACAAACAACCCCCATCCCCATGCATAAGACCAGATATCTCCACATCTGAAACTCCAAAAGCACAGCTAGCACAGAGCAGAGGCAGCGGAACATCTACAAACCAAGCTGAACAATAACAAAAATGAGTGAGAGTTTTGGTCTCCATAAAGACACCCAAGGGGCACAGCACTTTATAACATCTACGTTGCCTATTGTGCACCAAAGGGAAAAGCAGGTTTGATAGGAAACACTATGAAAGTTGTAGAATGAAAGAGCTCCAAATCAGCTAATTAGATCTAGCAAATCAACTTGGTGCTTAGAGAAAACTGAACGCCCTTTCACATATGCTGTACTAGGTCGTACCTGGAATACACAGCCCTGCCCTGGAAGGCTTACATACATACATCCTGTAGCGGTGGGCGGCAGAAACACCAGGAACATACCAAGATGGACCACAGATATGGTCTAGGGCCAGGCAGATGAGACAAAATAGAGCATCTGACTCAGGAATCATCCCTGGAAGTGTTCAAGGCCAGGCTGGATGAGGCTTTGGGCAACCTGGTCTAGTGGAGGGTGTCCCTGCCCATGGCAGGGGGGTTGGAACTAGATGGTCTTGAAGGTCCCTTCCAACCCAAACCAATCCATGATTCTATGTTTAACAGAGCAGAGCCTGGCACCAGCGAGACCCAAAACCTGAAGCACTCAACAAATAAAACTTCCCAAACTCCTGCTTTAGGGTCTCCCTTCACCCTGGGTTGCCCTACAGCAACTCCTTGCCCGGGACCCCGGACTACAGCAGGGTTCACCCAAGCAACATGTGGAACATGGGACTGGAGCTGAAGAGCAGCGAAGACAGTAAAGGAATGGGTTTGCTGGTTTATTTGGCTTTTATCTTAACCTTTAGAACAAGATCAGCCCCTCCCTAGTTAAAAGCCCCCCCAAGCACAATGGCACAGGCTGAGTTTCTTTTCAGACCGTTTCTTTTCTTCTTTTCCTTTTGCCGCAGAAAAAACTCATCTCATGATGGCAACTCCCTTCTAGAGATGTATAATGAAAACACATATTATTTTTCTTACAGCATAACCACCAGTATACTCCTGGGGTAGGAGAGGTGGGAGGGGAAAAATTACAGCGAACTTTTAAAGGAGCAAGTGTCACGTGGAATTAGCAAGTCTTAGTCTTTTTGCATGGGTGCTTGCACAGTGAGAGCAACAACTCTATGTTCACAGGCCTATCACTTTGGTACTTAAATGCTCTGGGTGGTATCTGTTGGTGTCAGACAGCTGGCAGCATGTATTTATATAATTCCACCCGGCACACTAAATAGAGATTTTCAAAGACATAAAAATCAGTAAAGCACTTCACTGCCTTCCGAGACTTTGAAAATCTTTTAGAACATGCTAGCTTTCAGATTGGATAGCAAAGCTGCCTTAATCCGCAGATGCACGTTAGTTTCTGATCCTTCACATGCATCTAAACAAATTAGAGTTTGTGACACTGAAAGATACAAAATCTTTTCAACTACACCAGGACTTTGATCTGTTCCTGCCTAGCTATCCAGCACCGGGAATCAAGCAATTTTTAAAGGTTTGCAAACAACCTTACTTCCATAAATATATATTCCTTAAAATTCCACCTAAGGATGGAATTTCAGGATACTTCCACTCCAAGGTACCATGCAACTTTCTTTAGGGAACTGTGCGCATGCAGATACACAGACACCCATACTAAAAGCAGTATGGCGGCACGCACACGTGCCAACCTGCATGTATTGATACACCAGGTCCACTAACTCACAGGGTTTAAAGGCAACAGCATCCTGGCACTGTGACTCCCCCCCCGCAGCCGTATCTAGTAAATCTTCCCTTAAGTTACTTCATTTAAAAGAGCAAACGGCACTGCATGGACACTAATAGCTTGCTTTATCTGACAAGTGAACAAGAAAAAGCTTTAAGAGCTTCTTCAAAAAGAATGTGGGCTCCCATGTCAGGGGAATAGATAGCCTATCCCAGATGTTCGGAGCTTGCAACCACAAGCATCTGCCACCCATTGTGAATTGTAGCTCCAGGCAGTTCAAAAATTAGCAGATTGGTTTCAATGAAGTGCATATTTGCAGCCTGCCCTGGAAAGAAGTGAGCATAAATACGCGGGTGCCAAATTCTGAACACATTTATACAACGGCAGCAACTAACGGGCTGCTTTGCCGAGATGTATTTAGCCAGTCAAATCTACTGCAGAGGTCAGCAGTGGCCTCAGTCCAGAGAGCCCAAACCTGCAGGGTCAGCGGTGCAGCCCCCAGCCCGCCCGGGCAGCGCTTGGTGCACAGCCTGCTGCCCTTGGGACGTGCTGGCCGGGCTCTGAGCAGCCTCTCAGCATGCAAACTGCAGGCACAGACAGAGCTCGTCGTCTGAGATACTTAAACTCACAGATGCAAAGTTGAAGAGGGGTCCAGACAAATACTGATTTAGCATTTCTCACCAGCATTTCTATGTGCAGCACAGCTGGGATATGTTTTACCACCAGGCTCAGATCCGCTTCTCCTTTAAAACTACTCAAGGGACTTGGACTTGTAGCTTGTCACAGGCAGTTTATTCTGGGCACAGATTGCAAGGTGAGGTAAGAAAGTCACTGAGTAACACAAGGAAATGATACTCCCTGGCATAACGACTCTGCAGAAGTGTTGCAGAGCTGATGGCCAGGTAGTCAGTGGGACAAGAGAAGCTGACCTGCAAGCAGAGCACAAAGTTCATAGTGAGATAATCCTGGCACACAGGAGCACACCTAGCTGAAGCTTGCCAAGTGAATTCTGCTCACCAGAAACTGTGTTATTAGGTGTGATGAATTATATTTTTGGTTTTCAGTTTTTAATACTGGAGAAGATTCAGATGGCTATAGGAACTGGGGCTGGCATGTGGGAAAGAAAATAATCCACCAAGTGATGGGAACGCAGTGCTGAGCCCGAGGGCAGCACCCTGCACGCATGCTCCTCCAGGGCAAGGTCTATGAGGAAGGCATGTTCTCAGCTATCTCTTCCTGCTTTTCCTCCAGCCCTACCGGTATCACCTTCTATCTCTAACAAGCTGCAGAGAGCTGTCTCTCATCCTGGAGAGAATGGGCGCGAGGCAGTGAAAAGCAAGAGGAGGAAAGGCTGGGTGTGGGCAGTGCAGCCTGCCCGCTCTCTGCAAGCTGTCCCCTCCCTTGGCATCTCCGCCAGCCACTCCTGTACAAAACCCCAGGGAGGACCCTGGAGGCAGCTGACAAAAACCATCTGGGTGAAGAAATAACATTGCTCCCAGCTATGTGGCAAGTCTGCTCTGCAATGAGGAAGGAGGCGTTCAAATTCCTCCCTTGACCATACTGTCTGGCTGTATGATACCCCAAAGGCTGCGGCACGAGGGATCTCAGAGAGATCAGACCACATTTCTGACTGTAACCAATAACAAGACCAACCTGCAGTGGGTAGTATGACTAAATCTCAAAGCAACAATATTTTTTATGCACCTGCTAACAAAGATGTTGCTTAAGTACAAGCAAATAGCCCGGCTACATGTGCACACATTTGCATCGACCACAGGTAAATACAAATTGGCAGCTGTCTCCAGCTTCTGGAGGGCCGCCAAGGTGACCTTGCGGGTTAAGGAGCTTGATCACCTTTCCCCCTTCTTTAAAAGCCCCGAAGGAGCCATCCCTCATTGTCACTACACCTAATAAAAATCTGTTTTATTCATTTCAAATTGTCAAAACATACTTTGTAAAAGTAACGAGATGTTCCAAGCCCACTCATTCCAACATACACACAACTTGGTTAGTCAAAGGAAACCGGTTTAGGAGATAGACACACACACAGAGTTAAGAGGTTTTCTGGTCTTCATGCTGGAAAGGACTAGAGATAAACATGTGCCTTTAAGAACCCCCAGTACTGATCAAAACCCAAACATTTCAGTGTGGAAACTTCCACTTTTTACAGGAGCCTCTTTGTCCAAAACATATGTTTAACGTAGGTTTGCAGAGGTGGACTTGCTCTGGCACGGAGTTTCTGTCAATGGAAGAATAAAATCTTTTCTCCCTCCTTCTCCTGGCCAGAGGTTTCGTGCACTGGAGCGAGGCAATGCCTGCAAGAGTTTTGGGAGGATCAGGGGAACGGCTCTTGCACTGACCTGCAAGCAAGAGTCAGGGAAACACGTGCCACGCACGATGCCCAGCCCCAGGCAGTGCCCGGGACCACTGACCCGGCCGCCTCCAGCCTCGAGGCAGCGACAAGAATGCTGCTAAAGACAAAGCTTGCATGCTGGCTCCATCTGCCATCTTGCAAATCAACCATCTGGGGAAAAAATTGCAGGACAGAGCACTTGGTTTATTATATAGTAACGCCAGTGTGCACATACACAGGCTGGTATATCAATCCTAATTTAAGGAAAGCTAATTAAGTGCAGTTTTTCTCTGCACAGCTTAAGGAAGCCTAATTAAAGTGGACAAGCATATCTGTAGAGCATTTAGTCCTTTTACCTTTAACAGGACCTAAAATAAATGGCTAGAGGTAAGATAAGTAGTCTGTTGGTGAGCTAGAATTACCGTCATGGTAATTAAAACATTCACAGATCACAGGACTGCAACAGCAGTTTGTTTTT